AGAGAGAGAGAGAGAGAGAGAGAGAGAGAGAGAAAGAGAGAGAGAGAGAATACGCGGTTTCTTTTCGGTTGATGATAATTAATTATTTATTGCATAATAATAATAATTTTTTTTCGTATATTCGTTTGGCATGTTTATTAATTTTTTTTTATTTTTTAATGATGTGAAAATTAAACAAATGTAATAACACCAGGCGTGTCGCCTCTTGTGTGTGTGTGTGCGTGTGCGTGTGCTTGTGTGTGTTTTGTTAAATCTGTGTCGATGAAAAGAAAGAGAGAAAGAGAGAGAGAGAGAGAGAAAAGAATTGGAGCTTTAAATTGAATTTAAACATGTATAATAAAATTTGGACGACACACACATATATATATATCTACGTGTATATGCAAATTGATTTATTTAAATTGTTTTTAAAGTTTAAAAAAAAAATAGTAAGCGAATGTGTCCAAGGATATAAAAAAAAAAAAAAAAAATTTTCAAACATAATAATAATAATAACTCGGGCCAAAGTTTTTAATAATCGTTTAAATTTTTTTTTTTTTTTTCGGGTTTCTTTGATTACTTTCCAATTATTTAATATGAAAAATTAAATTTTTTTTTTTTTTTTTTAATATACGATTCTCCCGAGTTTTAAAAAAAAAAATGTTTTTTTAAGTAAACGTTTCAAATTTTTTTTTTTTTCTGGCGACATTTTCAAAATTTTTTTTTAAAATTTGGCTCCTCGAAATGAGAAAAATATCGTGATTATTATTATTATTATTATTATTTGTTTTTCTTCGAATTGCATTCTACGTGCAATTATTCGTGTTTCACGGTTGAAATTTATTTTTCGTAACAAAAAAAAGAAAAGTTGGCCTCCCATACTTGATTTACTTACATGTAATTAAAAAAAAAAAAAAAAAAAAAGTCGGAGATGATAATGATGATTGTATCATGACGTAAAACAATTTAATAAAAACCGTTGATGAAACATGAAAAAAAGAGGTTTTTCAGGTACTAATAACAAAAAAAAAAAAAACCTAAAAAAAATTCTAATCAGGATAGGATTATAAATTATTGTTTAACCACTCTCGATTTCGTTTTTATTATTTAAATATTACCGTAATTTTTTATTTAATTTAATTTTAATTAAAAAAAAAAAAATTAGTCGAATTCAATTTGATTTTATTAATTACTTATTATTACCCTTGAAAATTTTCCCATCATAACGTGGATATAATTTTTTATTTATTTATTTTCGTCCTCAACAAGTTCCTCCCCACCACGTAAATCGTAAAAAAAAAATTTTTTTTTTTTTTTTAATTATTATTTATTATTAATATATACATATATATTAATATTTCTCCCTCTTTATTTAATTGGCTTAATATTTGCGGGGGCAACTGAAAAACGACGGCAACTGTCGCAAGAGAAATATTAAGAAAGTGTTGTAAAATAATTATAATATTTATTAATATTAATAATAAAAAAAAATTAAAAAAAAATTTTTTTTTAGTAAGTGATATGTTGCGACAGTGTTAAGAGATAAATATATATATAAAAAGAAAAAATTTGAAAAGTTTTTTTATTTTTTTTTTCTTTTTTTGGGGGGGTAATTATGTTTGAACCATTTTCTTTTTTCATTAAGGAAACTGAATGGACGGAAAAGAGCGAATTTTTCTTATTTTTACCCAAATGTGTGACCGTTAATGAATTTTATAGAGAGGAACATCCGGTTTTGTACGTTCCAACCGATCCGACGACGGTTATTAAAGAGGCACTTATCGGGGATCCGGATTGTTTTTCTATTAAATTTTATACTAAATGGTATTTTGATGTTTTCAAAGGTAAATCCACGTTATCATCGTATTTTTTTTCCAATAATTTTTTTACTCTTTCCGGATGTTATAAACGAGAAACGAATTTAATTTCGAATCATTTTAAATGGCCGACAGAGACTCAATTAAAGAGCATATTTTAAAAGTTTAAACTAAATTTTTGTATTTATTATTGAATTTAAATGTAAAAAAAAGGTGAATTTGAATTGCAAATTGATTTTTTAAAATCCGATTGTTTTATTTATTTATTTATTTTTTGTTTTGAAAATGTCGTCGAGTTTTCCAATCGTGTTGACTAAACTGAATAATTTTATTTTTAAAAATGACAAGATGAATGATGGAGTGTCAATCATTCACTGAACAAATCCAAACTCGATGATTTATCTAATTTAAATATATTTCATTTAAATCATTTTTAACTTAATTTAAAAAAAAAAAAAAAATTTAAATTAAATTAATATTAAGTATAGTTAGGATAATGATAGAAATTTTATTATGGCTGATCATTAGTTGCGTTATTAAAAATTTTTTTTTTTTTTTTTTTAGCTGAAGTAAAAATGCCAAGCGGAAAAGTAGACAAACCCGTGATTGAAGACAATCGTGATGGAACCGTCAGCATTAATTACGGACCAAAAGAAGAAGGTCTTCATGAACTTCATATTAAGTACAATGGCGAACACGTTCAAGGTAAAAAAAAAAAAACAAATTTAAAATGTATCCATTTTTAAAATCGAATCAATGAATAAGATTTGGTTTAGTTAGTGACCAAAATGAAAATTAATATTATTTTATTTAATTCAGAAAAAAAAAAAAAATTTATTTTAAATTGATTAACAAGCTTGAGATTTTTAGAGGTTGAGCTTTTGCCAAAGCTTTCCTTTGTAACATTATAACCAAAATAAAGTCACGTCTAATTAGCACTGAATGTGTGCCACATGTAATAATGATTGACGTTAAAACACCCGAAAAAAAATTTTATTTAAATTGGGATTTTTTTTTTTAAACATTGATATAGTTCTTAATCTTAAAATTCCAGTTCATGGAATAAGTGTGGAAATGTGATTCCATGAGGTGTGAATCTTAAAAAAAATAAATAAATAAATTTATTGAGTTATTGTTTTTTATCGAATTAGGATCTCCGTTTAAATTTCACGTCGATTCTATCGCTAGCGGATACGTAACCGCTTACGGTCCTGGATTATCTCATGGAGTCTGCGGAGAACCATCCAACTTTACAATTTACACGAAAGGTGCAGGAGCCGGAGGATTGGCTATGTCCGTTGAAGGACCCAGTAAAGCGGAAATTTCGTGTCACGATAATAAAGATGATACCGTATCCGTGTCGTATTTACCCACCGCACCGGGAGAATATAAAATATCCGTTAAATTTGGAGACAAGCACATCAAAGGAAGTCCCTACAGTGCTAAAATTACAGGTTTGGAAAAAAAAAGATTATAATTTAATCCATTTGGGGAAGTTTTCCATATTTAGAACTATGTATTCACTTTCGTATTATTTTATAAATAATAATTCCAGGCGAGGGAAGAAAACGTAATCAAATATCCGTCGGATCTTGCAGTGAATTTTCAATTCCTGGAAAATGCACAGATTCTGAGCTTCGTACTCTCAACGCTTCTATTCAAGCTCCGAGCGGTTTGGAAGAACCTTGTTTTTTGAAAAAAATGCCCAATGGAACGCTCGGTAAAAAATATATATTTAATAATGTTTGGATATTTTGTATTTTTCAGTGATAATATTTCACATTTTAATTTGAAAATTTCAGGAATATCGTTCACGCCCAGAGAAGTTGGAGAACATCAAGTCTCTGTTAAGAGAATGGGAAATCATATAACAAATTCACCATTTAAAATTAGCGTTGGTGCCAAAGAAGTTGGAGATGCTAAAAAAGTCAAAGTGACCGGTTCTCTTAAGGAGGGAGTCACTCACAAAGATAATGTTTTTACCGTCGATACTAAAAATGCTGGCGAGTTTAAATTTTTAATTATTTAAATAATTAGTTATTTTAAACAAAAAAAAAACTGAAATTAATTTTGTTTTTTTTTTTTTTTTTCTAAATTCTAGGTTACGGTGGTTTGTCGTTATCAATTGAAGGTCCAAGCAAAGCAGAAATTTCTTGCAAGGATAACGAAGATGGAACTTTGAAAATTGCTTACAAACCGACAGAACCTGGTTATTACATCGTAAACCTTAAATTCGCTGACCATCATGTCGACGGGTCTCCTTTCACCGTAAAGGTGACTGATCGAGTTTACATAATAACAATAATTTTATTTGAATTTACATAATGTGACCTAACGGTAACTTTTTAGGTATCTGGAGAAGGATCTAACAGAGTTAGAGAAAAAATTCAAAGGCAAAGGGAAGCTGTTCCAATCACGGAAGTAGGAAGCAAATGCAAGTTGACATTTAAAATGCCTGGAATAACAGCTTTTGATTTATCTTCAAGTGTTACATCTCCCGGCGGTGTGACGGAAGACGCTGAAATCAATGAAGTAGAAGATGGCCTATATGCTGTTCATTTTGTTCCGAAAGAATTGGGAGTTCATACTGTTTGTGTTAAATACAAAGACATTCATATACCTGGTAAGTACTTATCGACTTACTACCTTAAACCTTTTTGGCTTAATTTATAATTTTAAACGATTAAATATGTTTTTTTTTTTTTTTTAGGATCTCCTTTCCAATTTACCGTCGGTCCGTTAAAAGACGGAGGTGCGCACAGAGTTCACGCTGGAGGACCTGGATTAGAACGCGGAGAACAAGGAGAGGCCTGTGAATTTAATGTTTGGACTCGGGAAGCTGGTGCTGGATCTTTGGCTATTTCAGTCGAAGGACCGAGCAAAGCGGAAATAGATTTCAAGGATAGAAAAGATGGATCTTGTTATGTCAGTTACAAAGTTGGAACTCCAGGTGACCTTTGTCTCAAAGTTTTTTTTCATCGATTCGTTCACGAGTTATAAAAAAAAACTTTTTTTTTTTTTTTTAGGGGAATATAGAGTCGGTATCAAATTTAACGATCAACACATCCCGGACTCTCCTTATAAAGTATACATATCACCTGCGATGGGAGACGCTCATAAACTGGAAGTTGCTCAATTCCCGGAATCCGGAGTCAGGGCAAATCACCCATCGAACTTTCTCGTACGGAAAAACGGAGCTAAAGGAGAACTGGATTGCAAGGTAAAAACTCGGTTACACGTGGTTTACACGTTTGTGCGTGATTTAAAATAAAATTTTAATTAATTAAAAAAAAAAAATATATTTCAACAGATAATTTCTCCGAGTGGAATCGAAGATGATTGTTTCATTCAGTCGATTGATTCGGATACCTATTCAGTCAGATTCATGCCGAGAGAAAACGGAATTCACAACATTCATTGTAAATTTAACGGAGTTCATATTCCAGGATCTCCATTCCGCATAAAAGTAGGAAAGGAAGATGCTGATCCTGCTGCCGTCAGAGCTACCGGAAATGGCCTTACGAAAATTAAAACAGGTTATTTGAGATTTTTTTTTTTTATGTACAAAACGGAAGACCTTATTATAATTTCTTTCTTTTTTTTTTTTTTCCTACAGGAACAAAAACAGATTTTATAATAGACACTTGCAACGCCGGTGCCGGAACTTTAGCCGTTCAAATTGACGGTCCGTCAAAAGTTTCGATGGATTGTACCGAAGCTGAAGAAGGTTACAAAGTTCGTTACACGCCTTTGATGCACGGAGACTACTTTGTCAGCATTAAGTATAATGGCTATCATATCGTAGGTTCTCCTTTTAAAGTTAGCTGCACAGGTACGACAAAAAATTAATAATAATAATAATAATGATAAAATATTAGAAGTGAAAAATTAACCGACCGGGTACTTTTTCTACAGGTGAAGATTTGGCTGAGCGAGGTCCACAGGAAACTTCATCTGTCGTCGTTGAAACAGTTCATAAAGTCGCTAAAAGCAAAGGACAACAAGGTCCAACAATGCCGAAATTTAAATCTGATGCTTCAAAAGTAACCAGCAAGGGTATGGGTCTTAAGAAAGCATATTTAGGAAAACAAAATAATTTTACCGTCAACTGTGGAGATGCCGGTAACTACATTTGACAAAAAAAATTTTTTTTTTTTTTACCCTTATTTAAATTATTTTCCCTATTTAATTTTATTTATTTTTTCTTAAAGGTAATAACATATTGTACGTAGGAGTTTATGGACCAAAAGGACCTTGCGAAGAAGTTTTTATAAAACATACGGGACGTAACAATTATCAAGTTGGATATTTAGTCAAAGAAAGAGGAGACTACCTTGTCATCGTCAAATGGGGAGACGATCATATTAGAGGTTCACCATTTAAAGTGGATGTTTGAATTCTGTCTTGAAATTTTTTAAAAACAATTTTTAAACAAAAAAAACAGAATTTATAATAATTTTATTTAAAAAAAAAAAAAAAAAAAAAAGATGCCGTTTATTTATTTAAAAACGTTTGTTTTAACATTGAAGGATATTTAAATTTTTGAAATTTAAAAAAAAAAAATTTTCAACTACAATAGATTTGATTACACATTTCTTATTAAATTATTTTAATAATTATGTAACACATTCCTTGTAGTTTGAATTATGTTTAACATCAAATATAAACAGGTAGTCAGAAATTAAGATCATTAGGGATAATAATCATCAAAGAGATTTAAAACGAAACAAAAAAAAAAAATTTAATTTCGAAACAAGATGACAACACATTTTAAATAAGGCTTACTTATTTAATAAGTAAGTCATGAACCTTGTGCCAAATTTGTAATAAATTGTGCCAAAATTATAATAGTTTAATTTTTAAATAAATTTTTAAAAACTTTGAGGTGGCCAAAATTTCTTTTTTTTTTTTTTTTTTTTTTCTCTCGATATTAATTTAGTAGTCGGTTATTTATCAATTTAAATTTTGTTGTCGAGAGAAATTTTTATAATTTTATATAAAATTGTTTCAAAAAATATACAACACTATATATTTATATTTATATTAAATAATTTATGTAAAATGAAAATGAATTAGCATTTTATTATTTATAGTACTATTAAATTTAAATTGCGGCATCCTACAAAAATTTCAAAACAGGTCAAATAAATTGTTTTTTTTTTTTTATGTTTTAATTATCAAAATTTTATTGATTTTTATTTTTAAAAAAAAAATACAATTTTGTTTTAATTGTTAAAAATGTATGTATGTATGTATATATATATATATATATATATATATATCTATTTTGAATAAATGGTAAAGGAGGTAAAAAAATAAATTTTTTTATGATAAATCCATCTAAGAAATTTTATTTTACAACTTTATTCGAAAACAAAAAAAAAAAACTTATTTAAACAAACAATGGCATATTGTGTTTAATTTTAAAATACAGAATTTATTGTCTTACAGTAAATTAGTTGAACATTTTAATGTTTTTGATTCACTTAAAATACCTGTTAATTTTTTTTTTTTTTTACTTTAATTAACTAAATAACAAGTCATTTATTCAAGAAAATCTTTTGAAGGCACCATTTTTTGTTTTATTAAATATCAACATAGTAGAGAGACAAATAACAATGAAATCAAATTGAAAAAATTCAAGTTCATGCCCTTTGCTAAGCTAAATGCTTTTGATTAATCGAAACTTTTATGGAAAGTCGCAAACCTATATTGATAAGAAGTTGATAAAGAAATTAAATTAAAACTAAATAATAATAATACTATTCTGGTTTATAAAGGGATACAAATAAAATTTTTGGGTATTTGACATTTATAAAACATTTATTAGAAGCTGGGTATATATGCATATAAGTGCGTTTTTTTAAAAATACATTTACATTTTATATAAAATGAATTTAAAACTATTTTTAGATATAAAAATTTAGTATATGTGTGTAAGTATTGAAGTTGTCTAGTAAGTAAAATAAAATTCTCATATAAAAAATTCTTTTTAAAATAATTTAGTAACAGCAAAATAAAACAACCAAAGTTTTCAAAATAATTTTAATTCATATACATAAGAACTCATTGTGCCCACGAAATTAGTTTTAATTATATATATTTGTTAATTTACAAAAAATTTTTAACATTAATCAGTCATAACTACACTTACAGGAAGCAAACAACTTGTAAATAAATCGTAACATATGATTTATTGAAGCAAAACAAGTTTTGCTGTCGTTAATATGAGAACTTCTGTTCATTCGCCATTAAAAGTTTTATTTTTTAGTCAACATTCATAATATATATCCCATTGTAATTTTTAAAATAATTAAAGTTTTCTATTTAATTTCAATTTGTTTTTCCGTATTTATTTTAAATTAATTAATTATTTATTAGTTAAATATAATTTAGCCGTATATGATTTTTAGTTATAAGTGATTAATATTAAATATTGTATAGTGATAAAACGAATTTTTTTTTTTAGGACATAAATATTTTAGAAATATTTTACCTTGATTTTAATTAACGTCTGTATCGTTTTAAGATATGTAAAATGTAGAATTGATTTAAGGAAATTTTATTAAGGTAGGCTATTTTTTGACGAAATGGGAGTGTGCGTTAATAATTATATATATTGTAATAATATATATGTATAAACATACCTTGTACACTTTATCATACCTTTAGTCAGTTTTATTCAAATTTGAAAAACTTCACTATTCTTTTAAATATTCATTCCAATACTTTTAATATATGTGAATTTAATCATAAAAAAATAAAATATGTACTTTATTTACCTAAAATTATATCAAATTGTAAAAAATTTTTATTAAATAAAACATTAATTTTTTCCATCGATATCGACTTTTATTTCTTTTATTTTTTATTTATAAAAAAAAATTATTACTTATTTAATTTAATTAAGCAATTGAATAAAATTAAATTTTATATTAAATGAAGTTATTTTAAATTTAATTTAGAGTTTTATTTTTAGATCTAAATTTTGCTAAACAAATTAAAATCAAGTCGGATGATTGTTTAATCGAATTCATTAATATAATTTGATAAAAATATTTAATTCCCTTAATTATGATGTCAAATAATGTTTTTTAGCATAAAATGTAATTTTGTTTGATGTAAAATTAATATGGTATTAAGGAAAATATTTAAGATCAAAAGGTATTTTGATTTTTTTTGTAGCAACACGAAAAATACTTTCGAATCACATCTTTCTAATCCCATTTTTTTTTTTTTTTAATTGGCAGGAGATTAATTTTAAAAAAATTGTTTATTCCCAAATGTAAATCAACATTTAATTACAACAAATACAATTTCACACGTTTTTATTTTAAAAAATAACTGACTTTGTATTTTATTGGAGATAAATTTTATTACGAATACATTACGAAACGGAATAATAATAATAATAATAAAACATTTATAATTATTATTTTAAATTTGTATTTAAAATTGTTTAAACAATTTATATAAGTTTATTAAAAGAAACAGAAGACAATTACAAGATACAATATGTCATTTTATTACCTAGAATTTAATTAAAACATTTTAACATTTACAAAATTAAGGTCAGGGTTTTTAAATTGAACCAATTAATTTTTTTTTTTTTTTTTTTTTTTTTGTCGACTTGTGTTCGACAAGTTTTAAAATTTTATGTTTGACTAAATAAAATTTTTTTTTTTCTAACATTCTAATGTGATTTGTAGTAGTAGTAGTAGTAGTAGTAAAAAAAAAAAATTCAAAGTGACTTATTTCTTTTCTTTTTTCTTTTTTTCTAGGCTTTAAGAGGAATTTTTTATTGGCCTTTTACACGGAATAAATTGAAGGCTAAATTAGAGAAATGCATTGATATTCTACGTATAACAAAAAAAAAAAAAATTGAAAGAAGTTAATAATTTTAATTGAAAGAAGTTTAAGGATGATTAATTTGAGAATTAAACTGTTGTAGTAGTAGTAGTAGTAGTGATATTCTCGATTGTGATATGACGTAAAAAAAAATTATGCAATAAAATCATCAGAAAATTTATTTGAACCAATGGTAACCTTGAAAAATAACTTTGGCGTCGAGCCTGACAAGGACAGCGTCGGAATGAATACATCCGAGGGATCAGGCAACGATGTTAAGTCTTCCGGACCTGGTCAACCTAAAGCCATCCTTATAAGCCGGAAAAATTCCCATCCATTTCAGGTATTATTATTTCAACGCATGCAACTTGTAACGATTATTTAAATGATGAAAACAAAATGTATTGAAAACTTTCTATCCAGATTTTTTACAACAACAACAACAACATGATCCATCCTTGTCAAAATGTCATTTTGCTATTTTTTTTTTTTTCTTTTTTTCTAGCCGAGAACTTTAATATTGAATACTCCTGCTAAAATTGGTAGATCCGTAGCTAGAGCAAGGCCCAGTAACTACAATGGAATATTCGATTGTAAGGTACTATCAAGAAATCATGCCATCATCTGGTACGAATACGATTCTGGAAAGGTAAGTTTTCTTTCCTGTTACTGTAACTAATTAAGAAAAGACTTGTCTATTCTTCTCGTTAATAAGTAGTTTTAATGATGATGATGATGATGATAATAATAATAAATTATTAAAATAAAAGATAATTATAAGTGTTAATATAGAGCAAAAACAAAAAAAAAAAAAAAAAAAAAAAGAAAAAAAAAAATTTTGAATTTTAAATAATTACAGTCATTACAACAAGCTGTGTAGAATTTTCTAGAATTTAGAAATCTTTTTTTTTTCTCTTTCTTAATTCTAAAATTAAATCTATATTTATTCTTCGGTTTGGCTCACGCAAACGTTTTTCGTATTTTTTTCTGTTTGTTTGTTTGTTTGTTTGTTTTTATTTTTCTCAACCGATCAAAAAATCTTTTTTTTTTTTTTTTTTCTATTTTACTCCCCTCATCAAAGACATTCAAAAAAAAAAAAAAAAATGTTTCGAATCTGTTTTTCTCTCTCTCCATCCCCCTCCCTTCCCCTACCTCCCCTCCATCGAACCGTTAAAAACAATGCAAAAAAAAAACGTATAATTAATTAATTAATTAATTAATTAATTAAAAAATATTTTATGGAAAGTTTAATTCGTGGGAAAAAATTTTTTTCGTAGGAATTTTCTAGAAATTTAGTAGTTTGACCCGAAAAATTTTTTTTAAATTTTCCAAATACTTTCGTTCTTATTATTGATCGCTAAAAGAAAGTTTATTTTATTATTTATTTGAGGAAAAATATATAAAATAAAAAATTATTCCGGAAAAAGGAAATAGGGGGGGGGGGGGCGGGAAAAAATTAAGGTCGTTTGTTTGTATTTTGTTTAAAAAAAAAAAAGAAAAGAAAAGGCAGACGACATCGGTAAAAATAAAATAAATTATCTTATATATATAATAATATAAATATTGTTTTAAATATATTTGTGTTTAGTTTTCACTCACGCACACGCACACGCACACTCTTACACACCCACGAAATAATTTTTTTTTTTATTTTAATCGTATTTTGATTCCCGCAATTGTGATATTTTTAGATATTTAGGTAAATTTAAATTTAAATTTAAATTTTTTTTTTTACGACCTCGGTTAAATAAAAATAAATAAATAAAAAATGTATTTAAATTTATTTTGGTTCCCCATATAGAAATAATTATGAATGACGTTAATAAATTTTTTTTTTTTAAATAAATAATAATAATAATAATAATTAATTTTAAATTTATTTCACCGTTTTATAATTTTAAAATAAAATAAAATTAAATATTTGTTATTTCCTTATTCGTTTTTTCTTTTGACTTTTCCTTTTTTGTTTTTCATTTTGCTTTCAATATTTTTATTTATTTATTTATAAAAGTTAGATATTTGAAACGAGGCGGATATCCTAAAAAAAAAAAAAAAAAAAATTATTTTATCATCGTCATTGTTAATAATAATAATTGTCAATGACTAAATTAATCTCGTCGCAATAATAATAATAATAATAATTTGTTTTTTGTTGTTGTGTAAAATGTATAACATAAAAAAGTTTATAATTTTTGAATTTTTAGTTTATGATACAAGACACGAAAAGTTCAAATGGAACATTTGTAAACAATCAAAGGCTGAGTAAGGGAGGAGAAACGAGTTTGCCGAGGGAGTTTTTCAGTCGAGACATTGTACAATTTGGCGTCGACGTATTAGAAAATCAACGGAAGGGTAATGAAGAATCAGACAATTCTGATGAAAGTAATCACATAGGTATTAATAAATGCACAAAAATGTTGCACTCGTCTTTACTACGTTGGGTAATAGAAAAAAAAAAAACGCTGGGTCCCCTCCCTCCCTCCCTCCTTCTTTAGTCAAATTTTATTATTTATTAGCATCATCCCTCATCCATTCTATTATCATTATTTTATTTTTCTATGCTTTGATTTTGTGGTAACGGGAGCATTATAACTAATAACTTTTGGGTTATTTTTCAATTAGTAAAAACTAAATTTTCTTTTAGAGAACTATACCACACTTATCTCAGTAGTAGTTTATTTTTGCTTTTGTATCACCTAGGTACGTACGTACCTTAACTAATTTTTTTTTAGTTTCTGTTTCTTATCTATCCAACTTCTTAAAATAATTTTCAATGTTGATAATACGGGTAAAATTCCTCAAATCATTTTCCTATTTTCCGAACCTTTTTTTTTTTTTTTTGGTAATAATTTTCTTCTAAAACCTTTAAGACAGTGTAACATGAGGAGGCATAGGCACAGGTGTTATTATTCTTAGCTTTTAATTTTTTCTATCACTTATGCATTAAAAAAATTTTTTTTTTTTTTTAAATTTTTAATAATTACAAATTAATTTTTATGTTGTTTATAATTTTTATCAATCATTTTTTTTTTTTTTTTGAAAATGTTTACAAAAAAAAAGTCAACACACACACACACACACACCTTAAATGATTGATTGTCTTTTGATGTCATTTAAATAATTTATATTATTATTATTATTATTATGGATAGATATGAGAAATTTTGTACGATTTTTATTTAACGAATATGTTATAATCACCTGATAATTGATAATTTTTTTTTTCTTTTTTTCGTGTGTGTGCGTGTGCGTATATAGTAACTCACGGATGTATTGTGGCGACCGTTCGACTCGTTCATCCAAATGGAAAAGAAAGTAAATCGAGGTAAATTTTTTATAAATATATATTATAGATGATTAGGTGAAATATTATAATATTTGAGTATTGAATTGATAATAAAAACGTATAAATATTATTATTATTATTTTTTCAGTCAAGGTTTCAATACTCCAAATCCAATGTCATCAATTCAAATGACTCCGAATCAGGAAAAAATTTGTAAACTCGAATTTATTATTTACGTGAGTTATTTGGAATCATACTAATTGCACTGCTAAGGGGAGTAGTGAAATGTAATTTATTTTTGTTTGTTTGTTTGTTGGCTGTTGTTTGTTAAATTAGGAAGCTCAACAGAGAGAGGGAAGGTTACATGATAAATTGGAAGAATTACAACTCATAATAGGAAAATTAGAAATGGCTTGTCAAGAAACTCTAACGAGTAAATTCGAAGAAACCCGATTGTTGTCGAAAATAGCAAATTTAGAAAAGCAAACGAAAGTCATGAGTAAAATAATGTCGGGAGCATCGAATAAAACGTCGGAAAAGGTAGAAGAAGAAGTACAACAATTGTTGGTAGACATTGAAAAAGTTCAAAGCGTCGCGAGGGAAATACAGGAAAAACAACATCGGAAATTGTTGGAAAGCGAACAGAAATTACTAGAAGCTCAAAGGTGAAATTATAAAATGTCGACATAACGTAATGTTTTTGTTTAAATTTAAATTTAAAATTTGAAAATTTTAATTGCAGAGTCGCATCTAATTTAGAACTTGAAGTTATTGCACTTAGAGAGCAAGCATCACTAACACAATTACAACTCCAAGAAATGGGAGCCAAATGCACAGAATATTGTCAAACAATAGACATTCTTAAAGTTCATTACAACGTGAGTAAAAATACAAAAAAAAACAATAACAAACCCGTAACAAACGTGATAGAATGATCTGGAAAATTTTTTTTTTTTTTTTATTATGTTTCCAGGCTCAAAAAGACGTAACGCAAAAATTGGAAGCATGGATGCTCAAATTAGAAGAGAGAGATAATGAAAAAGATTTTAAAAGTCAAAATTTATCAGAAATAACAAATTTAGACGGAAGTAGTAGTAAATTAATAACGGAAGAAGAAGAAAAAGAAGGAAATAAAAAAGATAAAGGTTGGCAACACTTAATCGTTATTCGTTAATGCCACGTCGAAAGGGATTAATCACATTTCATTTAATTTTTTTTTTTTTACAGAAAATCAAGAAATAGTTTTGGAAAGAAGCAAAATTTACGAAGAATTTGAAAAAATAGAAGAGAAAGATTTTAATAATGATGATAATAAAACCGAATGGCTGACGAGTACGTTCAGGTTTTACCCTTTTTTCCCTTTTTTTTTTTAAACTTTTGATTTAAAATTGTAATTTTTTTTTGTTTGATAAAATAATTTTTAGAAAAATTCGACGGCATCATGGATTCAATAGGAGCCGGATTAGAGCAAATTTCTAAATGTTCAGGTATTGGAAAAAAAAAAAAAAAAAAAAAAATGGCTTCGATTTAAATGAAATATTTAATTGTGAATCATTAAACAAATTTTTTTTTTCTTAACATTTTCAGAGCAGCTCGAAGTCACGCTAACGGATGTAGAAAAATCTAAAAAAAAATTAGAAAAGTTATGCGTGAGAAGTCACGCATTGAGTTTAGAGCTTAACGCTGCTAAAATTCCAGCAGAAGTTATTAAAAAGGTTAATAATAATAATAATAATAATTTTAAATGGAGCCTTTTAAGTCACTTATTATCACCTGATTAATTTGTAATTTGGATTTTGTCTGTTTAAATTTTCCAGACTGATAATGAATTCGATGGAGATTTGTACAAACCTCTTAATTTACCTTCCATGAGTAATGAAAAAATAACGGAACTCGAAGTCGAATTGGAAGAAAACGAAGGTTATTTAATATTAATTTTTAAAAAAGGTTTTTAAATCGGCGATTTATGTCAAGAATGATTTTTTTTTTTTTTTTGTGTCAGGTTTGTTAAACAAAGCCAGGTTTAAGCAGCGCGAATTGGAGGGACAATACTCGACACTCAAATCCGAATTGGTATCAACGATAAAAAGATGCGTCGAATTCATATCGAATTATTATAAATTAAGTGCGCTTTTAAGAAATCACATAAAGTCGATCGAGGAAACCGGTAACGAATACAAAGAAAAATTAATCAAATTAGAAGGGAACGCGGTGGAAAAGGTACAGGAACAAGATGGTGGTGATGATGATGAGGAACGGGAAAATAAAAAAATGGTCGTGGAAAAAAACGTAAGCAAAAAGGTGAGAAAATCGAGAGAGAGAGAGAGAGAGAGAGAGAGAGAGAGAGAGTTTACAAAAAGGAAAAAAGGGAAAAAAGTATTTTTTTCAATTTTCTGTCAAACAGTTCGAACCGAAAGAAACTCAAACCATGCCATTGTTATTGATTACGTCATCAACAAACACGGAAATAGATGCCAAAGGTATGAAAAACGTAACGAATCAAGAGGAAAAGGAAACGGAAGATAAAAACAATATAAAAACGTCGGAAAATTTAATAAAATCGAGTAAAAAATTTGAGATGGAGGAGGAGGAGGGTAGGGAAAACAAATCGGAAAATTTAGGTGATTTCCTCATGCCCGAAGTTTTTTTTTTGCCATCGTCGTCGGTTATTTTTTAATTAATTTTTTAAATGTATTTACAGGAGAATTAAATAGTGAAAATTTGGATGTTAAAAATATATCGGAAATAAATTTAATTAAACAAATTGAATATCTTTACGATAGGAAAACGAAGGATACGAATTTGAACACTTTAGGATTCTGGGAGAAAATTCAAAAAATTCAAAACGTTCTCACGAACAAATTGAAGGGGGAGCCCGAATACGAAATAAACGAAATGAAAAATTTAGTAAGTCGATAAATCGATCGATCGATCGATGAATCGATGAATCGATAAATCGCAGTCAGTTTTCATTTGAATACTCAATCGATCGCCTTGTTTATTTCAGATTAATTTGCTGGCCGAAGATTTGGTTTGTCTTCTGCTTCGCGAACAAAAATTAAGTAGGGAAAATCAATCTTTGCAAAAAAAAATAAACAAATGTTTATCGGAGTGTGACGTGCCGTCAGTAGGATTGGCTGTATGTAAAACATGATTGATTTTTTTTTTTTTGCTACCGGTAATAATGATAATGATGATGATAATGATGATTTTTCGTTTCAGATGCATTTAAGAACAATTATGTTATTTTGTGCGACTGCCATGGCCGCATACATCGTTTACCTTGTATTTTTATGAAAATTACTTTACGTTTAATATTATTATTATTATTATTATTACTGATACTACTACTATTACTGTTACTACTTTACTACTATTACTACTATTGTAATCCCGGAATGTTGCTTGTCTAATTTTTTTTTTTTTTTTTTTTATGTTTAAAAAAAAGTATTTATTTATTCGTCGATGTGTATTTTTCATTTAAGTAAAAAAAAAAAAAATAAATAAATAAATAAATAAACGTTTATTAAATAAGACATTGTGGTATTATATTAATTTTGTTTTGTTGTTTGTAGTTATTAAAATGTGGAAAAAAAAAAAAAAAGTGGGGGAAAGTGTATTTGCGAAAAAAAAAGTAGGGAGGGGAGGGAGAGGGAGGGGAAAAAATTTTTTTCTATATAATTTGTAATGAGTTTAAGTGAAAGTTTTTTTTTTTTTTTTTTTTTTTTTTGATTTCTTTTTGTTAAAACAGAAAAAAAAATTTATTTTATTAATTAATTAATTAATTAATTAAGGGACATATTTAAATTTTTTTATCTTATAAAATTATCGTTTATAACGAAATTTAATAATAATAATAATAATAATAATAAATAAAAATTATTAAAAAGACTGAAATTTTTAATAAATAAATAAAAAGAGGAATTTACGATTCGAGAAAAGATGATAATAATAATAATAATATCAAGTTAAAAAAAAAAAATTTTTTTTTATTATTATTTTAATAAAAAATTATTATTTATAAAAAAATATAATTAAACAATTAATTATACATATTAATTTATTTACAACAACAACAAAAAAAAAAAGAGAAAAATTTTTTCGTTTTGTGCGAAATAAGGTAAAAACCTTCCAAATGCTAAATATCCATAATATATTTAGAATCAGTTCATTATTATTATTATCGTTAAAATAAATTTATAATTAATTTCCTTACCAATAATAATTTAAATTAAAAAATAAAATATATATATATATATATATATATAAAATATATTTTTTTTAAATTTATTTTAAATATACAACAAACAATTAAACAATGAGTACGTTTCACATTTATATTCACAAAACAAAAAACAAATGATTAATAATAATAATAATAATAATAATAATAAAAAAAAATTTTTTTAATAACAATATTAATAATGATAATGATAATAAAAAATGCTGCCATTAATTAATGATAATAATAATAATAATTAATGAATTAAATTACATTATTTATGTTTTTTTTTTTTTTCTCTACCGGCCCACATTATTTTACCGTTAATAAAAAAAAATATTTTTTTATGTACATAAAACAGTAAAATTGAGGTATGATAAATAATAACCGACTTTATTATTATTATTATTATTATTAAAATGAATTATGGAAAAATAATAATTTGAGCAATTTCAATTAATAATATTTTTCCTAGAGTTTACTATATAAAAAAAAATTAAAACCCGTTAGTGATCAAATAATTAAATTATTATTATTATTATTTTTAATGAATACTGATTTTGAACATAATAATTATTATTATTATGATTATTTTTAATACAAAAAAAAATGTAAAATACATTATTATTATTATTATTATTATTATTGTTTTATATTTAATAAATTAATCTAAATATTTCTTTTCGTAAAAATTGCTTTAATGATGAAAACTGTATTTATGAAAATGTTTTCCAGGTATTATGGTATCCGCGTGCGCGTGCATATGTAATAATCATACATAAAATCTGAATTGGAGTAAAGCTAAAGTTTCCGTTCGATACAATTAACATTAATATATATATAAAAAAAAAAAAACTTTTTTCCGTTGTATAAAACATAACTTCGACCGCGAGTCATATAACCCTTAATCCCTTCTCATTTCACTAATTAAAGCTAAAAAAACAATTATTAATCCCTTTTTAATCCTTTATTCGTGTCCTTTGATAAAACCAAATTTAATATGGAAATCAACCGATTTTAATAACCTTCTTTCAATTGCGTGTGTGTGTGTGTGTGCGCGTGTGTTTATTTTATCCTCTTTATCGATTTCGTCATTTTTCCTTTGTCGTAATCTAAAATTTTAATTTAAAAAAAAAAAAAAAATTTTTTGAATTTGTACGAACGGGGATCGTTAAAAAAAAAAAAAGGAAAAGAAACTCACAACGGCATTTTCACTCTTTCAATTCATTCAAACTGTCTTCTCCAGGCTCCGACCTCCTGGAAACTATGTAGGAGCGAAGTTGTTTATTTCTCGCATCCAATTGCATTATGTGCTCGTGAGCTTGATTTAATTGTTTGCTCATGTTGCTCAATTGCTCTTCGAGCGAAGCCGATTCTACGCATTTGACGGAATATTTTTCCGATAAGGATAAAATTTCTTTTTTTATTTCTTCCATTTCCGCCCTGCAAACAAACAAACGAACAAACAAAAATAATAATAATAATAATAAAATATAATTTAAAAAAAAACATTTTCTCCGTGTTGTCGTATAAGTTCCTCACTCGTGTTCTTTATGAAGTGCTCCAATGTCATGATTGCTTTGCATTTTTTTCAAAAACTCCGATTTGAATTTAGCAATTTCTTTTTGAACTTCCGTTTCGTGAGCTTTTCTCATAGCGTCAAGAGCTGCCAAAGTCGCTTGAGTTTCTTCTGCTAAAGCTTGTTCTTTTTCCGCGGCCGCCGCCGCCAATTCTTGCCTGTGTTTTTCTTCAAGTTCTGTTATGATTCTTCTGTGAGAATTATCTACGGCACTTAATCCCTTTTCGCAAAGAGTCTGAAAACAAAAAAAAATTACTCTTATTCCCTAGTCTCTTTCATAAGGAGTTTAATAAAAAAAAAAAAAAAACTTTTTCTGTTTCTCTCACCCGAAGTTGTTCTATTTCAGCTTGATATCTGAGTCGTATCGAATCAACTGAACTTTCATCTTTTCCATCTAAATCGGTTGATATCGTTTTATGATAAGCCATTCGTAATCCGTTAATCTGCTGAGAATATTCCACGTCGAGAGTTTCCAATCTTTTTTCCAAACATTTTGTCTTTTCAACGAGTTGAGCTTGTTCGATTTCGTGTTGGCAAACGAGTGAATTTTTCTGATATTCTAATTCTCCCATAAGATCCTAAAAAAAAAAAAAAATCACCAATGAGTCGAGACATAATAATAATAATAGGAAAGGGAAACCCAAACGAAAATACCTTCATTTCTTTTTGATGACAAAGTTTTAAAATTCTTATTTCTTCATCGTAATGATTCTCGACATTTCTTAAAGCTTCCTTGAGGAGACAACATTGCCTACATAAATGTTTTCCTTTCGTGAAATCTTCGAGTTGATTGGAAATGAATGCGGAATGATCGAGAATGTTGTTCGAATTCGAATGTGACAAACTTGGGAGTGATGTGGATGATTCCGGCAATTGTAACATTTCCCGAAGATTTTTTATTTTCTCAACGGAATGTTTTAAATTTTTTAACACGGCCGCAGAATTATTTAAACAAAATTTTGATCCTTCAACGGATTTCAAACACTCCGCACTGAATTTCTGATATAAATAAATAAACCTCGTTTCGAAATCTAATTCCTCTAACACGTGATTGTGATTGTAATTTATGGGTCCTGCTCTGCAAAAACCTGTCTGGTCGTTTTTATCTTTGGTTTCTTCCAATTCTTCCGTTAGAAACAAAACTTTGACATCGACTATCGTCATTTGAAAAGCAACGCTGAAAAAATCTTCCATCGCTTTTTTGTACTTTTTACTTTCTTCTTTCAAACCATCGTTAATTTGTATTTCTTTTTCTTCTTCGCGGAGTTTTTTAAATATTTTCTCGTATAATTTGTAGATTTCGGACACGTTACAATCCACGGCATTTCTCAGCGAATCTTCTATTTTCTCCAAATATTTTTCTTTTCTTCGGTATTTCTCCGCTATGAACGTCAATCTTCCCTCTTGTTCTTTGGCCAACTCGTTCTTGTACATGAGCAAACACCTCAAAGCGAGCTGCGATAATTCCACTTGTGCCAATTCTTTATTCAACGATTCCTGCGCGAGAGACCATGCCTTTTGCAACCTTTTATCTGCTTTAAATTCTTGTTTTTTACTTTCCTCCATTTCTGTCGATTGATAAAACGTGTCGTAAGCAAGAGAGAGCGCAATTTCTTCCAATTTCTTTTTTTTGTACGCATTCACCAAATCTTGAACCGTCTTCTGATGTTCCAATAACGTTTTATAATCTATTTTAAAATCATTTTTTTCCAATAATATTTTAACCACTTTTGAATTGTAATCCGCGACTTCTCCTTCCAAATAAAGAGTTTTTGAAATTATTTTAGATAATCCGTCCAACGCGTTTCCGGTCAGCGTAATATTTTCTCCTTCGATTTTATTAACGATTAATGTCATAAGAGCTTTGATTTCTTGAATTTCCGTATAATCTATGGATTGCTTCCATTGATTGCCAACGAAATTGCATTCGTTGAGAACTTCTCTTATTTTTCTTATCAAAACGGATTCGTAAGCAAGTTTTTCTGCCGTCAGCGACAGCTTTGCTTCTTCGTTGAATTCGTTTCGTTCGATGAGTGTTTGTTTCCTTTCGGATAATTCTGATATTTTAGATTTTAAAATACTTTCCAGGGAATGAATTATGTGATCTTCAGAGCCTGCGAATTTGAGTGGATTTTCTTTTGCCAAAGGCGATGACAAAAATTTATATTTTGTTAAAAGTTGTTCCGTTTCAATTATGCATTTTTCCAATGAGGAAAAATCTTCTAATGTCGTTATTTGATTTTTCCTTTTAAGAGAACCGATGATGGATTTACATTCTTGAAGTTTTCTTTTAATTTTCAAAATTCCCTCACTTGATTCCATTGCTTGATTTGAATCCGGCTGTGCATTCTTACAATCTTCGTTTAAACACTCGGCCTCGGCTTTAATTATTTTCCTTTCTAATGAAAACATCCTGACGAGAATTTTCATTGGTTCTGAACAAGGAGAACTTTCAAGAGATTTTCTCCTACAACGCGTTACTTCTTTTTCTTCTCGAACTTTCTTTTCGAAAGGTGCCGTCGGAGGTTTAACAACCACCGAAGTCTGCTTTCCCGATTCTAAAGCTTCTAATTTAGCTTCTAATTCTGCTAATTTTTCTTCGGTTTCCTTTCCGATATAAAAAGATTCTTTACCTTTGAGGGAAAGAGACCTTCTTTTTTCTCTTGAATCTGATTTGGCTATTTTTTGTTTTAACACGCGAGATTGTTTTTCCGATGCAGAAAGCTTTAGTGTCAAATCCTCTATTCGGGATGCCATAAGTTCTGCTTGCGCTTTCCCATTTTCTTCCTTTCTTTTAGCATCTTGTCTAAGATTTATAACGGTCAATTCCAAATCGTCATAATTGGCATGCGATTCTCTCAATTCTTTTTTCATGGCTCTTATTTCTTGTACGGCTTTTTCAAATCTTCCTTTTAATTCTTCGTATTCTTCAATTATTCTCTCCTTATTTAGAGTTTCTAAATTAATATCTAAATCTACATTTGTAAGATCACTCAATGAATCCACACTGCGACCTCTTTCTCTGGAAGAGGAAAGACATCTTCCTTCCAGTTCTCTCATTCTCCCATAAAGACCTTCATTTTCCTCCAACCCACGCATTAGCCTTTCACTAAGATTAGTCAATTCAGATTTTAATACTTGAACATTTTCTTCGCTAAGAGTGAGTTCTTCGGTAAGCATTTCACATCTTTCACTAGCTACCCTGAGCATAGAAGTAACGTCCTCCAGTTTTATTTCCCACGATTCTTTGTCGCTGGCATACTCTTCTTTTAACTGTTGATACATTTCTCTCCAACCGTCGTTAATGGCACTTTCTCTCCAAGACTTTAACATTCCTTCATGTTCTTTCAAAAGAGCACTATATCGTTGTTTAAGTTTTTCAAAATTTTCCAATTCTTGACTTTTTAATTTCAATTCGTTCTCGGCTATTTTTAAATTCCTAAGTAACTCTTCGACTTGCTGATTGGCATCCGTTTTTCTTTGTCTCAAACGTGATAATTCTTTTTCAGCCGTTGTTTTTTCACACAAAGCCAAACTTAACTGCCCTTTGAGCTCATCTATTTCCTTCACGTGTCTATCGACTTTATCTAATATTGCCGATCGCTTGATTGGTTCTTCTCTCTTTTCTTCATGGCTAGTTTCACAACTTCTATGTAAAGTGTGGGCTTTTCGGGAAGTCGGAGGGCTAGATTTTGAACGTTTATTATACACGCGAGATCTTGTGGTTTGGGTTTTAGCTCTCTCTTTTACTTTGGATATGGGTGTTCTATTGAGAGGAGGTGAAGGTGGAAGAGGCGTCGGACTAGCTTTCCAATCTTCTTTATCCTTTAAATTTTTATTTACACGTTCTCCTTCAGTCTGAGTCTTGTACAACTCGGAGAGTAACGACTGCGAACTAATTGAACGTTTAACTTCGTTTTTATCATTAAAGTGACCATTTGAAGGCTGCCTTAGAAGCTTTTCTACGTATTTACAACTTGAGGAGGGCGAAATGGTGACAGATAAATGACTGGGATTTTCAAATGATGAAACACATTGGCCATCGGAAAATTGCTTATTTCCAGTTCTTTGAGAACCTGGAAATTTAAATTTTAAAATTACAATCAATCAATACCTTACACAAAAACTATAAATATAAAATGGTTTAATGAATAAAAACAAATAATTCAAAATTTTTAAATTACCTGAATCTAAGTACGTATTATGACTAGTGGAATGATTGGAATCGAAATACTGTGAATTATTTAACGAAATACGAGGTTTATCTAAATCCCGTTCTAATTTTTCATTTATTTTTAAAGAACCTTTTTCAAAATTTTTAACCAAACCCGCAGCTTTAACTAATGCAGCGATCCAATTGCTTCTGATGCCCGCTGTGGCCGCTGACAAAACGTATTTTTTATCGTCCCAGGCCTTAAAAACAAAAAAAAAAATTAAAATTTAATATGAAAATAGTAAATTTTTTTTTTTAAATTTTCATTTCTATCTCTATCAGAAAAAAATGTTTTTTTATTGAATCAGATCTGGCAAAATAAAAGTTATATTATAGTTGAAAAAGTATAATATTAAAATGTTTTTAAACAAACAAGCAAGTACCGAATTTCAAAATTGAAACTAATTTCATGCTTACACCCAATTAAGATATTAAATTGCATATCATAATACCAATTAAATTTGATTCAAAATAAATTGAGATTTGACGCAAAAAACAAATAAAACTTCAAATAACTCTTATAATTTTTAATTAAACGCTATAAGGTTAGATTTAAAACGCAAAATAAACTGCCAACTCTAATATTTTCTAATTTAATAATATTATTAATAAACCATTTTTTTAAAGACGTTTTGTTAAACAGCTTTAAATGCTCCCAGTATAAAAAGACTAACCACAGTTTGAAATCCGTAATTTCTTTGAACCTGAATCTCTGACACGCTTTTGATCGAACTCAAATCCATAACGCCATCCAGAATTCCTTTATCTTCTGCTGTCGGATCGCGATAATACATAAGAGCAACTCCTCTTAAAACAAACCAATGTTTTGTCCATTCTTTTCCCGATCCTTGTTTTAAGAGCCAACCTTTTTTGATGTTTAATAATTCTTCAGCGGGAAGATCAACGCGAAGTTCCGAATCGGGAGGGTAGTCGCACAAAGAGACATCCAAATTACATCCATCAGGATCTCCTCGTACCTTTAAAGAAAATACGAAATTTTATAAGAAATTAAATTATTTTCGTGTGCACACACACTTACACTATTTTAAATCAATTAACTCACTGCTTTTTCTCGAACTGGGTTCAATTCATTTTTTTCCATAGGTGAAATCGGAGTTCCAGAAGATTCTCTTTCATCTTCACTACATTCTCCGTCTCTTGTAGGCTTTATCTGATTTTTCGTTTTACATTCCAAAGACATGTATTCGTTCGTAATATTCCTTCGTAATCTGGGTTTGGTCAAACTGTCCGCGATGTCTTTTAATTTTTCTTTTCTTTTTGATTTTTCACTTTCCAATAATAATCGTCTCGTTTCATCATTTTTATCCGAACTTCCTTCCCTGAGTATTTTCGTAATGCTTTGATCCGAGTTTTTATTTTTTTTTGTGGACGGAAATTCATCCCCGAAATTTTCTTCACTTTTTTCAACGGCAAACATTTCTTTGTCTAACTTGAGACTTCTTTTTTCTCTGTTCAACGATTTTCTAGTTTTAGTTCTTTCATCGGAATTTACTTTGTCGCGAGTCGGAGGCGAAAACGAACTAACCGGATGCCGATTACTGTAAGATTTTTTATCATCCGCGATTATTGTCGGCGTTTGTTCCGAATCGGTTTTGTTATTATTATTGGATTCCGATTGTTCGACTTTGACCTATTAAAAGAATATAAGTAATAATTTAAAGATGTAAAAAATCTTTCTCGAAATATATATTAGAAAAAATTTTATAACTAATATTTAATTCGACCAACCTGTACATCTCTCGTTGGGTATATATCACTTTCCACATTCAACCATTTTGATGAATTAGAATGTAGGACGACGTCTGAATCGGTACGAACGCTATTAAATCTAGGCCTGTTTTCCGTTGAACTTCTACAATTTAATGATGCCTGCTGTAAAATTGATGAAGGTTGACTAACGGGAAAAGTAGCGTTTCGTTTATGCCTTCCCTGAAAGTTTTTTAAAACATTAATTTTTAATAAACATTTTTTTTCCATCTTTAATAACTGCGACTCTATATATTCATTATTATTATTATTATTATTATTATTACCTTGCTGCGAAGAAAAACGCTTAAAACATCTTTCCACCACCTTGCTTCCTCTCTGGTCGTTCCCTTAACAAAATGTATTCCATCTGAAGCTGTAATTGCTATACTATACAAATTCCCTGTTATTTCTTCTGCATCGCTTACTTCCATTACTTTGTTCATATCAATACTAGCTTGAGGAATAGTATCAGGCTAAAAATTAAAAATCATAAAAATAATAAAAACTAATACTGTTTAGGATAAATATTTTCCCTTACACAAAACTAAATTGTATTAACAAAATTTACTAAAATCTGAATCTGGCTTATTAAATAAATCCAATAAACAAAATTTGAATTTATATAAGAGCTAACGAGTTTAAAACAAGATGTCAAGATGAAATGATGGTTAACAGTTAAAAGGTTTTACTGTGTACTTATGAAAATTATTTTAATTTTGTTGTACATTACTTATAAAGATAAGTTTCATTAATTTTGAGTATAAAACTTACATGTTCATCCAAAGAATAATTTAGTTCCCCATCATCGTATAGAACAAACCAACGCCTTTGCCATCTCTGGAAATAATAAAAGTTTTTTGTAAATATGTTACATTATATACTTAAAAAATATCTACATAATACAAACAAAATTTTAAAAAATAAGAATCACTTTAACAGTGTAAAATAATGAATATTGTAGTACCTTGGTTCTATTGATAGGGATGCTAAAATCCCATCCTGGAGCGACAAATAAATATCCACATTTTGATATTTTTCTAGCTGCCTGAAAACAAATATAAAATAAATTATACATTAAAATGATTTTTTTGAAAAGTAATTTCTCAAAAGCCATCACCAAAACTTAAATGACACTAAATGTATGAAAATGCTAAATAAATTGGATTATTACATGTCCTACATAATAACGTTTATTTTCAACATAAAAAATTGTGAATTTAAATTTTAAATTTTTTGTCAAATCGCTTTATAACTATATATTAATCATTTTTTCAGCTTTTTATTATTGTTCAAAAAATTAAAGATGTACAATTTAATATTCATTTATTCAACATTGTTTTAATTAAAATTTAAAAAATTGAAATCGATAAATATAAACATTGACACTTTTAGCAAATGCAATAAACTTTTAAATATAAATAAATTTATGTTATAATAATTATATTAAAAAAGTTTTTTAAATGAATAAGTATTTGACACCTACATAAATTTGAGTACATAAAAAAAAATTTTAAAGTACACTTACTCTGTTGGATTCTAAAGCCTCAGCAGAGTGTTCTTCTTTTTGACGAAAACAACTCGTACATTTTGTTTTATTAAATATATTTGGGGTAAATTTTCTACATTCTGCTCTTCCCGAACTTGAAGACATTTTTGCCTCCAAGGAATGCAGAGAATTGTGTCCTGAATAAATAACGAATCAGGCAATTAACCAAGAAAGAGCGACTTCCTGCTATGCATAATTTATCACCTTATTCCAAGTCGCACCTTTTTTTTCCAAAAACTTACTTAATAATTAGTTGCTTATTAATATTTCCGTAAAATATTAACATATGTAAAATTTCACAAAATAATTAGCTGCCCTATTTAGAGTCTATCAAATTGTAGACAAGCTCTTTCAAAGTAGGAGGATCAGGAATACCACAATGAAAAATAATTAAGTACATTTTTTACAAAACTAATCAAACTAATTATTCACACCTAAATATAGGAAGACATTCCTTAACACTAGAGTTTATTTATCCGTCAAACGACATTTACTGCGCAACTCCCCAAGTTTTATTTAGTTGACATTAGCAAGCCTGATTTATTTTTCGGGGCCCTCCACGAAAAAAATATTTATTTTTAAATTTCTAACCTATATTTAAAATTTTTTTTTTTGTAATATATACAAATTTAAAATTCAATATTTTTTGTCAATATACAGATAAAAAATGTAAAAATAAAATTTTTCATTTAAAAAAAAAAATTTTTTTTTTATTGTTTTTTCATTAAATAAATAAGTTTAAAAAATGAGCTGTAAAATTAAATTCTCTATGGTCAAAGTACCGGAATCCTCCATTAGAAATCTGTGCGCTTCGACATTTGTCCACAGTAATGCATTTGATTAAGACAATTATATAAGACTGAAATAAATATAAATTAGATGATTTAATTTAATTATTATTTTTATTTTAATTTGGTTTCTATTATTTTTTTTTTTTAGAGAATTTTTACATATAATAATTATGTATTTCAAGTACAAATACTCGAGGTAATAAAGTAGTTAAAAAAAAAAAAAAAAAAAAATTAAGCATTGAAATAAATTAATTTTAATTTTACAATTCGTTAAAAATAAAAAAAAATTATAATTATTGTTTTAATTAATTTAAAATTTATTTTTATCGCTTAAAAACACTCTTAAAATAATATTCCGTTTTATTAAAAGACGTTTAGCTTCTTATTATTTTCAACAGCTTTTAATTACATTTTTTTATATAAAGACAATTTTAGCCCTCAGAGTATAATAGCTGCATATAATTTACATTTATTTTTCTTTACAGAGCTGGTTTTTTAAAATGAGCTATGATTTCATATTTTAATTGATAAAATGAAATTACCTTGAAGACAGTAAATTTTTCTTGTTTTAAGTTTAAAATATATATTAGGTCACATGTGTAATTAAAATAAATTTTAAATAAAATGGCACCAAGTGACCAAAGCAAAAGGTAATTAATTATATTCTGTAAATAAAATATTATAATTTCTTTTATAACTTTTTTACACAAACAGATTAATTAACACCCTAATAAAGTGTGATTTTAATCATATTTATAAACTATTTCAGCTTTACAGATAATCTTACATTTGCCATAATTCCTGAAGTCTATGATGATGAAAATGCTTATGAAAATTTTGAAGCAGAATTAGAAAAAGCCCTAGAGGCAAGTTACAATGTCATTGTGATTGAGCCTTCTAAACTTGGAGATGAAACAGCAAGATGGATAGCTGTTGGAAATTGTTTGCATAAAACGGCAGTAGTAACAGGAATGATGTCGGTTGCAGCAGCATTTATTTGGAACAAAAGACCTTACATTTGTTTGCCTTTTGGAGTACTTTCTTTGCTGTGTACTGGTGTATATACTTTGTCTTGGCAATTTGATCCATGTGTAAAATACCAAGTTGAAACGGACTTAAAAAAGCTAATGGAAGTCTTACCTGAGCTCAATAAATTACCCTCACTTTTATCATTGGACAGTCAAAAAGTATCAACAGCAGTTTCACAATTCAATACTCTGCCATCTAACCCTGTAGTCTTGGTACGTAAAGATAATTCTAAAAAAAAAATGGTACATTCTGGTTTGTCGATATTGGCTGCAATATTTTGCATTTGGAGGTTGTATGATTCTTATAAATAAAATCTAGTTTTTTTTTTCAATTAAAGATTTTTAAAATCAACTTGTTTTATTATTAAATACATACTAATACTTTAGTAGTATTTACTAGTTAAAATTATTAATAATTTTATTAAAAATTAAATGCTGAAAAATTATTTTTAGATATTTTTTTTTTTTTTGTTGTTAAACATCAAGGCATTAAAATAAATAAATAATAAAATCGATAAGAAGTTACCAGTATACAAAGATTTAGTTGCCTTGGCCAAATTTTTAGTGAAAGTGTAAAACTTAGTTTTAAATATTTTCAATTAAAAATGGATTATTAGTTTGTAAATTTGTAGTAATTTAATAAAATTTCTCATGTTTTTCATTATACCAATTAGCATTTTTAATTTCTTAACCCAAAAAAATGTATGATTCGAAAAAAAAAATTAAAATATTTAGTGAGTTAATTTATCGAACAAAAATGTAGTGATGTAAAATTTACCTATGTAAATGATTTTATAAATTAAAAAATTTTATTTTCATTAAAAATAAAGTTATATAAAAAATAATATACAATTAAATAAATTTCTTTTAAAAAAATTAGATCAATAATTTAAAAAATGAATGTGTTTTATTTTCTTTAAAAAATAAATTTTACTTTATTAAGGGTAGGTTTTTGGCTCTTTCCATCATAATCCAATGAAATATTGATGGACTGATGTTTCTTATAAAAATTGCTAATTTAGATGTAAGAGAGGCTACCACTAAATCTTTCTTTTCTAAAACTATATTTTTAAATAAAATTTTACTTAGTCGTGTCGGTTCTATTCCTTTGGCAGTAGTATCATCCATAACTGGAAAAAAAATTTTTTACAATTTTTTATGAAAAATGAAATCAACACATTTTTTTTATATCAAAATTACATTAAAAATAAATTTATTTAACTTACTTTTGTATTGGTTCCCATTTTCAGTTAATGCATTAACTGACAAATTCGTTTTAATATAACCTGGACTTATAACAGAAACTTTTACATTGTTCGAAGCTACCTCTGCTCTAAGAACATCATGGAAAGCTTGAAGTGCATGTTTTGAAGCAGCATATGCTGATCTATATGGTATACCAATTAATCCTTGAACACTGCTTACAGCAACAATGTGACCTTTTTTCCTATCAATCATTTGTGGTAGTATTGCTGAAACATTAAATCGTTTTTAAAAAGTCTCACATGCTAAAATCACAAAATTTTTAACGATATGATTAAGATACCTTTAATTAATGCTACTGGACCAAAATAATTAACATCCATAATAAATTTGTCTACACTTATATCAGTTTTACTAATTCTTCCCCTAAAACTTATTCCAGCATTGTTTATGAGAACATCAATATGTCCAAATATCGATAATGCAACTTGTGCTTGTTTTGATACCGATTCAATATCTGATAAATCTAATGGTAAAATTACTGGATGATTTTTTTGAGTCTGAAAAATTTAATGTTACAGAATGATGTAGAGTTTAAAAAAAAAAACTTATTTTTGAAATCGTAAATGAATACCTTATACGTATTTACGAGAATGTCACGAACTCTTATTAATTCATTTTCCCTTCTGGCTGATAGTATAACTTTACAACCGGCATTGTAAAAACAATGTGCTAAAGCTTCACCTAAGCCTGAACTTGCACCAGTTATTAATACAACTTTTCCTTCAAATTGTTTTAATAAAATTTTATATTTCAAATTATTAAAATACTTAATAAGTATTAAACTTATAGAAATGGGGAAGATGAAAGCAGTCAAGAACCAATAAGTTTTTGCCAATCGAATATAAGCGTAAAAATTGTTCAAATTTGTTGTCATTATTTAAAGTTAAAGCAACAGTAAAATCATACAGATGAATTTAATAATCAATTTATACGATTTGAAAATTCATTTTTAAAACAACATAATTTTTCAAAGTTCATATAAAACGTATTTTATATAATAAAAAAAAAAAACTTTGGTTTTGAAATACTATCCAATTAATTTGAATAAAAGAGTAAAAAAAAAAATTTTAAATAAATACAATTTAATATGTTTTTATTTAAACAAAAATTTGAGAAACCAAAAAAAAAAATTTCATTTAAATTTTGAAAATAAAAAAAATTTTTTAATTGGAACAAAACACGACGAGAAGTTTATTATTCCATAGAGTATATAAACTATTTACATTTGATTTAATGTATTACGTAAGCACTTAACAAATGTAATTTGAATTGTGCACCAAAATTTTTTTTTTTTTAACATACTTTTTAAGGCTCGAAAAAAATTTTGTCTTACTTAATTAATATCCATTATTCCTTTTATTATATTAAAATTCCAAATTCCTGCATGATCCTAGAGACTAACAAAAATTTGAATTTTTTTAAACAAAAAAAAAAAAAAAACCGCGCTTTACGTTACAAAAATATAAAATCATTTGGTATACTTTATACACTTAACTCATAAATAAACATTTCTACAATTTTTCTTGTTAAAAATTATCAAAAAAATAAATAAATAAAAATTGGAGTTAACATTAACATTTAAGATTTTGAAAAGTAAAAGCTTTCATTAAGCTTTCATTTGAAAAAAAAAGCTTTCATTACATATCGAAAATAAAGCTCAAAATTTAAGCTGACCTAAATTTTGTTAAGAACATAAAATATTTTATTAAAGTTGTTACGTTTTTTTTTTTTGATCAGTTACTAAATATAAATACTTAAAAAATTAATAAATATGTAAATAAATTTTTAAATAAATATATTAATTAATGGCAACTCGTTTGAATGAATCAATTTGAATACAAATAAATGTTGATTCAAAAAAAAATTTTTTTTCTATTTCCTTCATCAATTCTCGGTATTGGTTCCGTTTAAATTTTTACGAGGAAACGTTTAAAAAATTTCCCTTGATACCAAATAACCAAAAATATCCCGTAGGACTTTCTGGGCATACTCCAAGTCTAAAAGCCAAACGACCCGTATTGGTAATGGCCCAAAATTTATTTTTTGCCAAAATACAACGAAATCCTTCGACATTGTTTTCCGCGAAAGCATCGGGAGATTTTAATGGATCATCTGGAAAAAAAAAAAATTAATTATGGAGCATTCGTAAAACGATTCAAAAAATTGAAAAAATTTATGATTATCATTATTAACCGTTTGAATTTTCCTCGTGTGAAAAAAAAGACATTGCTCGCCAGTGGGAGCCCAATGGGAAAACTTCGGTATTTTCACTTCTTGCAAATATTCTTCCGTTAGAATCCAATGCCCAGACGCCATTTTCTCCAACCGAAACTTGTTTCAAACTCGAATTTAATGGCGCTTCTACTGTTTCCCATACGTTACCTGAAATCAATTAAATGGCCTTTATAACAAAATATTCAACATTTTCACAATCTTGATATCTTAAATTATTTGATTTTAAATTAGTTTTACCTGTTAAGTTATTAACCGAAATGCCCAGTCTGCAGAGTGCAGATCCGTTTTTCGTTACCGCCCAAACTTGTTTTTTCCCACAAGAAATACTTATCATTTGTTCGTCACTTGGTACATGTTCCCACGACAAGCCCTAAAATTAAATTTTCAAAATGTGAAAAAAAAAAAACCAAACTTTCCCTTTGAAAAAACAAAAAGAATTTACTCACGGCCGGACAATTTTTACTGACTCCCCGTCGAAATAAAACATCCCCATTTGAAGCAACTGCCCAAGCTGTTATTCCATTTTCATCGGAATTCAAACTACAATCGGTTAAGGCAGTGTGACCCAGCTCAGTCCAAGGTCCAGAAATTTCTATTTTCGCACATCTGAACCATCTTCTACGCCTGACGTAATCAGTCAAACTTTTGCAACCGTGATATGTAGATGGAAAATCAACAGCATACTGCCAACCGTCCTTATCGACTCCTCCGGGAGTATGAAAATCAACACTCCAATCATTAATCTATACACCAATTTTTTTTTAAGTTATACTAAATCAATATTAAAAGAAAACCCAAATTTAAATTTATATGTGTGAAATTGAATTACCCAACGCCATCTTTTAGACAATAAACAAGTATTTTCTTTTGTCCTTTTGTATTTACCAGTAACGTCAGACCACATAAATCTATCGGTAGGTAAACCGCGAGAAGTATATCCCGTTAAAGGATTCCATCTTTGATTTTCATAAACATAATAATATCGTATATCTCTCATTTTGTTACACAATGCAGAACCTGAAAAAAACAAATTAACGACTTTCATTAAAAATACCTTGTCTTGTATTTTTACCAAACTTTTTTTTTTTTTAAGAGTCGATAGTTACCCAGGTACAACCAAGCCGTATTATCAAATCCTATACCCCAAGTAATACCTTCTACGGTTTCTACCTTTTTTAAATGACCTCGAATTTGCTGCCAATACATCGAATAAGGTTCCAATATCAATTCATTACTCGTATATAAAACTTTTTTTATATTAATGTCTCCTTGACAATATAAATGAGTTATGTTTGGAAAACTAGAGATGAAATCATTTGAATCTTTTTTTATTAAAAATTCAGTGAATTTTTTATTATTTACAGACACTACAAAATGTAAACTTGTACAAATTATTTTGAGCTCGAATAATTCACCCATTTCAAATGGCATCGTTCGACTTCTTTCTTCTCTATCCCAAATTAAATTTGTTCTTGAATTTTGAATTACGCATTCTTCCTCGAACCGAGGATTAAAATGATAGACGATATCACAGTTTCCATTTTCTTCACAACGCACGAGATCAATGGCAAATCTTTTAGCATTACTATGTACGCATCCCCAAATTGTTACAGAATGACCGGGTGTAAAACCGGATGATAAAGGTACGTGAATAGGCAAATCAGTATCTGAGAATGTTTGTTCCAACGTATGTTTTTCACTGTTATCAACCCGCTGATCGGTCTAAAATAAAAAAAATATTCAAAGTTATAAAGCATTCTTTAAAAAAAGAATAAAAACATTTAAAAGTTTTTTTTTTTTCCAGAAATTTAAATTAAATTGTTTTGACTAAAATTATTAATTATGGCTTACGGATATTTTTGAAAGATCACAAGCAAATATGTCGCCTCTATTAGTAGTTATCCATACGGAGTTGGGACTAGGAACATCCGACACGTTTCTTATCTTATTACAAAGAGAAGACAATTCAGATTTCCACTCTTCATATTCATCTTCAGCTAAAAGTGTTAATGCCTAATAATTACATTATTTCAAAAAAAGTTATTAAAAAAAAATTTTTTTTAAATAGGTATAAGAAAATTGCAATAAGGGGAAAAATAAAAGTAAAAGTTAGTTGATGGCACAAGAGAGAGAGAGAGAGAGAGAATGTTGATATTTAAATAATAAATTTAGGTATAATAAAAGAAGCTCACTTTTAAATTGTAACTTCAAAGGAGCCAAACAATCGAAACTAAATATAGAAAGACGAGGATTTTGAGAAGTACAACAACTTATAACGGCTGACACATTTTTTAAATCGTACTTTGACCAAGTTTCAGATTTGGATACGTCAAATATTTCCAACGTGCCAGATTCCACTTCGCACTCTTCGCTGATCCATTCTAATTCTATCATGCAGTCTTTAAAGTTATTCTCTTTGGGTAACAGACATTTGCAATTGACTCCCTTTGTCCAAGATGAATTTTCAACGGCTTTTTCATAATTTTCAAGTGATGCAAAGTCTTTTGGTATTCTTTCTTTCAAAACGTTTAAAATTTTAATTCGCCAAGGTTTAATTAATTCCAATTGTTTTTTCGAATTCGTTTCGGCAAACCTAATAAAATTCAATTATTTTTAATTAAAAAATAAATTTAAATTAATTTAATGAAATAACTAACCAATTGGGTAAGCTTTCTGTGTTAATAATGCAAGCACCAGCTTCGACGGTCGACCATAAAGCTTCGCTGTCGGACCAATATAAGTGATCATTATCATCTTCACGTTCTCCATGTTCACTATATATTCCGGTAAACTCATCAGATTCAAAAATAATACTATCGGCAGCATAATGAGCTTCTGTTCCTACCACCGATCCTCCAGCCTGTTGAGGACTCCATGATCGTGTGGGAATCGCTATTTCTAAAGTACAAATTAGTAACAGAAATATAAAGTTGTATTAAAATCTTTACTTTTTAATTTTTTTAAATTATGTTCGATTAGCAACTAACCTTTACTAATAAACCCACACACAGGATGACTAACGTTTCCGTAATTTCTAATGTCTTCCTTGCTGTTTCCTTCTTCACAATATTCTTTAATTTCACCAACATTTGCGACTTGCGTTTCATCTTCGTGAATATCGCTTAAATTAATACTTTGAGAATCAGATGATACACTATCAATAGAACCGGTATCCGGTATGGAATAATTTAATTTTATAGATGAGTTAATTAATTTTTGAGAATTTTGTCCAACTGGCGGTGCAGAATGACAAAATTTCTTCAAATCGATTTTACTTTCAGGAAACGATTCTCGGAATTCTTCTTGATGATTCTAAAATAAGATTAATATTTAACTTATAATACTTTTTATAAAAAATACACGATTTAATTTAAGTTTTCCAGGAAGAATTAAAAAACATAAAAAATATACAAGAATGTACATTTTGTAATTTTTATCGTATAAATTATTTTAAATGAAATTACCAAAGATGCCCAACTTCGATGTCTTTTTTCCCTATGAGCTTCATCACTTCCAGATCTGAAGCTGGCCGAGCTGTTTGTACGACTCAATTGAGTTGGAGCACTTATTGCACGCCAAGTTTTACCCATTAAGTCCTCTTGTGTAACTGATGTACGGAAATACAATACCCTTCATAAAAAAAATTCTAATCAATAAATTTTTAATAAATAAAACTTTTACTTTTTGTCAAAAGATAATTTTCAATTGTAATTATGTGAGGTAAGAGGTTTGAAAGTTATTTTCAAAGAAACAAACATTAACATACTTATCAGATGTTCCTACAGCCCAAACTTGATCATTTGATGCTACAGATATTTCAGTCATGTTTCCACACATTTCTATCCAACCACTACCTGTTGCCATACTATCACTAACACCTGAACTCTCCCCATTTATGCCTTTTCTAAACCACACTCTTCCATCTTTTGTAGTAGCCCATATGCTGTTGTAACCTACTGAAACTTGACTTAAATGTAAATTTTCATTAGGTTGTTCTATTTCAACCCAGTTGGTACCTACGATGAAAAAGAAGAAGAACGACAATTTTTGGAAATAAGAAGTTACATTAAATTTTTGTTTTAGACACAAATTAAAAATTACCTGTCAATGAAGCTCTGGTAATACCAGTACGAGCTAATGCTTTACCATTGTATAAAACTATCCAAACTAAACCTGTGGCTCCCACACTTACTTGACAAACTTCACATCCACTTGGAACTGGTATTAAACTCCATCTTTGCCCTTCAGGACAGTATTTATTAACATCAGACCTAAACATAAGTCTTCCACAAGCTGTAACAGCCCAAACTATAATTGTGCCATCTTTGGCACCAGGTAAGTGTTTTCCTCCAACACCCACTCGAATGAATGGTTCTTTAGTAGGATCTTTATGAAGCGGAGCTACAGCACACCAAGAATTTAAAGCAATATACCTTCTATACCTATACCATTTTCTTCTTCTGACATATGAGGACCATTGTTTCGAAGGATAATAAGTTGCAGGAAAGTCAACAGCATAGGTCCAGCCCTTTTCCAAAAATAAGTATCCAAAAGAAAAAGAAATTAAGAATGTAAGTTTAGAATAATTTTTAAAAATAAGTATAAAAATAAACTTACATCATGATCCAATGGTTGTCCATTTAATGTAAGTTCTAATTTCCAATCACCTTCCCACTGCCATGCCATAGATGGCAATCTAATTTTTTTTGGATTTCTATCAAACCTTCCATTTTCATCAGAAAAATTAAATCTATCAGTAGGTAAGAGTTTATTACTAAAGCCGTCAAACGGAGTCCATCTCTCATTTTCGTAGTATTCTTCTTTTACTCTAATAGGAATGTCTAAACCATAAGCATGTACATATATTTGTCTATCACCTCCAACAGCCCATAAAAAATTTGGTACAGCTGATAGTTGTTTAAATTCAAGACCCAAATAAATAAATTCTCTCCACTTTGTACCATTAGTTGATAAACCAAAAACCCTTCCTTCACTATTAATTGCAAATAAGAGGGTGCTGGGCATATTATTTTTAAAAAAAAATTTAACCCTTTGAGAATTCAATATTTGAAAGTCAAAACTCGACACATGATTAGCAAGCTATTTGAAAATTTTTTGGATGTAGTATCAAAACTATCCATAATAAATTACTGTTGACGAATAACAAATAGAAATGTTATCGAAATAAAATACTAAAAATTAAATAATTCCTTTTTCTGTCTTAAAAATATATCTTAATGGATATAAAACATTTTATAAACTACCTGCTTAAAGTTAACCATTCAAAATATTCAAAACAGAAAATAAAAAATTATGTAACTGCTCACTGTGAAAGCTAAACATAATTTAAATTTATTAATTATATGGCCAATGGCATTTAAAATATTTAATCACTGGCTAAATAATACTGGAAAAAATAATGGAAAATATTTTTAAAATAACCCATCACTTATTGTTTCCTAATTGCTTATAAAGAAAAACAACAACAGTCAATCAATACAATTATTTTCTTTTATTAAAAAAAAAAAGGATTACAAAATTTAATACAAAAAAATTTAAATGAAAATACTGTTGAAAATGAGTAAGGTTGTGAATAACATAAAATAATGGAAATGTGTCTGACGCACACGAAATATAGATTTTAAATATTCACGATTTTTAAGGCTCTGAAAAAAAAAACCGTTTCAAATAAAAAAAAAAAAATTTTTATACTATGTTTAAAAAAAAAGTAAAATTTAACCCTAAATTATGTTTTTCGTTGCCTAGCAACAAATTAATTCAGTGTTTGTAATATATTTCCCTCGACGACAGTAAGTTTAATCATAATTACAATTTTTTTTTTTTTTAAATTAGATATAAACCGTTATAAATTAAATAAAACGTTAATTCGTTCGATTTTTTTTTGAATTTAATGGTAAGTAACGGATTTATTATGCATTGCAAACAGTTTTTTTTTTTTTTTAACCAATGTCTCAGTTTTAAATTAATATTTTAGGTTAATGATAAATTAGATTTATTTGACCAAAAAAAAAGTCAAGAAAATATATTTAAAGAAGAGGATAATATGCACTTGTTAGAATCAAATCCGACAGAAATTATAAAAAGTATAAAAAACTACAACGAATGCGTTCAAGCTTTCGATGCAACTTTTTGTAACGGTAAAAAAAAATTTTTATTCTTTACCTAATAATTAATAATTTTTACCTTAATTAAAAATCCATCGTACTTTATTAATTATAGAAAAATATTCCACTTCGAGTTATACAAATTCTTCAACGAAACTCCTTGAAAAACTTTTAAAAAATTCAGAAAGTGATATTTTGCCCGTGGAAACAGATTATTTACAGTCGTCAAAAGACAGCATTAACGATGTAGACATTTTACAAAAAAATTATTTACCAAATGAAAAAAATGAAATTTTTAATTCAGGTGATAATATAAATTGGAATATAATATTAAATAACAAAACAAATTTTGAAAATGGCGAGAGTGATAAAAATAATGTAGAAAATATACGAGAAGAATATGAAATGACACAGGGTAACGCGAACGTTAATAATATTTCCGTTAATTTCTTAGAAAACAGTATAAATTCGAAAAAATTACAAAATGAATATTTTAAACCGTTTATAAAAAATTCTAACAGTTTTTTACACAAAACTAAAAAATTCGAATTGGACGAATTTAATTTAAATGAATTTTTTTCATATTGTGAAACAAAACAAGAAAATAATAATTACAGTATGACGGTTGAAAACGATTATGCAGTGGCAGAAGACGTTGAAAAAAGTAATAACGGTAATTTCACAATTATCAGAGAATGTGATAAGACGAATGAAATTCAAGAACTTTATACACCAGAATTGTTTAATATTAATTATCAAAATGTTAATAATAATTTTCACACGAGAAAAAATATAAATTTCGAATCACAATTTGTAACACAACCTCCCACGACCGTGAGCAGCCATTTTAATGACGTTAACGAACTTCCACAAAAATTGATTATAGAAAATGATGAAATAAATGATTTTCCAAATGAAAATTTTGAAAAACTTAATTCTCTCGATGAGGAATTATATCGTTTGTTGGAATCGATTGAAAAACAAGAAAATGACGAAACCAATAATGGTAGGTTAAATTTTAAATCATTTATTCATATGAAACAAGTTGTTTGTTGATACAAATTACTCTTTTAATAGTATGATATTTTTAAATAATATTTTCATTTGTTTTTTGGCATACAAAGAAATGAAAACAAACATTCAAACAAATCAGAATCCAATTGAAGATAATAATAATATGAAAGAAATTTATTGTTGGCTTGAAAATGCAGAAAAAGAACAAGAAGGATTGGATGAAAGTGTAATCAGTATAAAAAGAAATGATTCAACCTGTGAAGAAATTAATTTATCACCCAGGTGACATAAAAATCCTATTTTTTTTTTACAACAACAATTTATACTTATTAAAAAAAAAATTAAATTTCATTTTTACATTTAAGATTAGATAATCTTTTGGAAAAAAATCCCATTGAATTAGCACATGAAATATTATTATTAAACATTCAAATTGAAGATCAAAAAAAAGGAATCAAATTATTGAGAGACACATTAGGAGAAATGAAAGAAAGAGAAAAAGAATTTATTTTGGAACAGAAAAAAATTATAGAAAAAACTAAAGAAGAATCTAAAATGTTAATACAAAGACATCAAACATTTATTAAACAAGTAAAAATAATAATTTCCAATGTTAATTTAATTTTATTTAATTTTTTTTTTTCTTTGAAATAAAAATGATTAATTTATTAAATTTCAGTTATTAAAAGAAAAAAAAAATTTAAATAAAGAAGTGGGTCAATTAGTTTTAGATTTTAAATCAAATGAAGAAAAATATAAAAAAAAAATTAAAATAATGCAAGAAAGGCATGCAATTGAAATAAAACAAGTTAAAGAAGCTCAAGCAGTTGCTGATAAAATAAAAAGAGAAAAATGGATGGAAATGAAAACAAAAAAAATTAAAGTAATTTAAAATAAAAAAAAAAAAAATAAATTAAATTAGAATTAGTCAATTGGTCAATTTATTTTGTTTTGTTAAATTTTAGGAAATGACAATAAAAGGTTTAGAACCAGAACTTTCACGTATGGTCGAAGTTAAACAAAATGAAATTTTCGAACTTAAACAAATTCATAGAACCGAACTTGAAGCTGTTGAACTTAAAGCAATTCACAAAACATCTGAATTAATTGATCAATTAAGAGCTGAATTGTTAAGAGAAAAAGAATTTGCAATTGAAAGAGAAACAAATATATTAAGAACCAGGTTTTTGTAAAAAAAATTTTCCCTTTTTTTTTGTTCGGGGGGCGGGGTTAAGTAACAGGCTAACATAACGGTTATGTTGTTGTTACAGACTGGAAGAAAATTTTGAAAAGGAGAGAAAAAAATTGGAAGGTGTGAATCAAAAATTAAAAGAAAAAATTATAGAAGTAGAAGAAAAATTAGCAAATCGTGAAATTGAATATCGTCAAAAATTAATTGAAAATAAAAAAGAATTGGCTAAAGAAAAAGAAAAATTAATTGAAGAATTTAAAGAGAAAACAAATGAAGATAAACAACAGCATCAAGTATTAGAAATTTTAATTTTTTATTTATTTTTTGTTATTTTAAATTTAATTAATTTTGATTATTTTTTACTAACAGTTGGAAATAAAAAATTTGAAAATTTACTATGAAGAAGAAAAAGAAATATGGATAAGAGATTTGAAAAAACAAGAAGCCATTAAATATTCTGAAAAAGAATGTATTCTGATGGAACAATGCAAAAGAGAAAAAGAAAAAGAAATGGAAAAAATTATGGAAAATTTCGAAAAAGAATCGGAAGAAGTAATTAATATAAAAAATATTTTATTACGGTTAACAACAAATGGAAAAAAAATGACAAATTTTTTTGTAATTTACAGGTTAAAATTCAATTAAATAAATCGTGGGAAAATAAATTAAAAAGATTACAAGATAAATACGATAGCGAAATAATGGATTTACACGAAAATGAAAATTTATTGAAATCTAAATTTTCCGACATGAAATCCGAATTGATTGAAAAAGAAAATTTAATAACTGAACTTCAACATCAAATCATGTTAAATCAAACTGAATTGACGCTATTGAAAAAAGTTAATAATAAGAAAATTTTTTTTTTTGTTTAATTTTGTTGCAATTAAATTGATTTTTAAATTGTAATTTTTTTCTTTGTTAGTCTTGCGAAGAAATGACGATAGAAAAAAGTAATTTAAAAAATATAATAAGAAAAGAATTTGATGATAAAATAGAGACGATGAAAATGAATAATGAAAAACTTGAAAAACGTATAATAGATATGAAAGAAGAAGAAATGAAAAAATTAAATGAAAAAGATGAAAAACATTTAATAGAAAAAAATGAAATGCAAAAAGAAATTGCTAAAATTTACAGCAGGTCAGACAAAGAGAGAGAGAGAAATAGAGAGAGAGAGAGAAAGAGAGAGAGAGAGAGAGAGAGAGAGAGAGAAAGAGAGAGAGAGAGAGAGAGAGAAAGAGAGAGAGAGAGTTTATTGAAAACTTTTTTTTTTTTAATTAAAAAACTTAATTATATATAATTTTTTTTTTTTTTTTAGAATTAAATCTGTTGCTAGTAAAAAAGATGTTAAAATAGAATGTTTAAAAAAAGAAAACGAAGCTTTACAACAAAAAATACAACAACTCGGTACCATGTTGGAAAAACAAAGGAAAAATCTTTTACTAAACTGATATATCCTCATTTAAATAACAAAAGAAAATTTTCTTTTAATGAACCTCATAAATAATAATAATAATTTTCACAGTTTGTCAATAATATACAGTATCTCTTATATCAAATTCAATTTTTTATTTATAAACTTACCTTTAAAAAATATTTCCAAAACAATTCACGTTAATTATTAACTATTATTATTATTATTATTATTTAAATAAAAAAGTAAAAAAAATTTAATTGAGAAGGATGATTGATGTTAATCTCACACCACCGATAAAATTAAGATAGAAAAAAAAACGATATTAAAATCCGAAAATTTCTTTAATTTTTTTTTTAATTATTAATTATTATTAATTAATTATTATAATAATTTTCTTAATTTCTAAAAATTAAATAAATAGAATAGTTACAATATTAAACAATCTAAAAATTAATTATAAATATATATATATATATATATATGTATATAGCTACAACATCCATACCCAATTTCTTAATATATAAGGAAAAGCTTTTTTTATCAATCTATCAGTTATTTATATAATTATAGGGGGGACACTGCTTTTGCTAGAGGATGTTATCAGTATTTTATTTATTTATTTATTAAAATCTATTTATATATATATAATCGGTTGTATACTTCCTTCTTCCTTCTTTAATTTCTACATTTTCATATTAATTTACTTTTTCGGTGATATAATTAATTAAAAAATATTATTTTATAAACGACGACGACGACGACATATAAAAATCTAGCAAAAGCTATTATGAACCGCTTAATTAAATAATAATAATAATAATAATAATAATTATAAAAATAAAAAAAAAAATTAAATAATTTTTCTAAAGCATTACAACATAATCACTCTAAAAACATTTAATTTAAAAATTAAATTATTTTATTATCGTTTCAGGAAAAAAAAAAAATAAAAAAATTTTTCCTTTTCTGCCCCCACCCCCTCCCCATCCGATTTAAATTTGCAAAAGATTTGAAAAAAGCTGAAAAACTAAAAAATTTCCTTTTTCTTTCATTTTGATTCATCATATAATATACAAAATATTTTATTTATTTATTCAAAAAAAATAAATATTTATATTGTATTTTTAAATAATTAAATATATTTCAAAAAAAAAAAAAAAAAAATGTTTTTTTTTAAACTAAAATAAGCTATAATATAATAATATATATATATATAATACGACACGTTTTTAGAGTGATGCTCACAAGAGCAACATCATCATCTACTCATCAATCAATCAATCAATCAGCAAGCCTTTGATTACTATAAAAAAAAAAAAAAATTACAACGAAGAATTGATTTAAATTAATTATTAATTTTTTTTCTTTTTTTTTTTTTTTTTTTAATAAAAATTATTATTATCAATTCGATTTCTAGCTTACACATTTTGTACAAAGCAAACTGAAAATACCTTTTTTTTTTTTTTTTTTATTTAAATAAATATATTTCGAACGAGCGCAGGCGTTCGCCTGAAATAAAAATTTCATTTTTTTTTTTTTTTTTTTTTTTTTTTTTCCAGTAGTGCTTTATAGTAGAGTGTGTCATCAGATCTATAAAACTAAAGAGCCGCCATTAATCAGTAATTGCACTTTTCATTCATGAAATAAGTGACGTCATCGAGATTGAGATTCTTCTTTTTTCATGAGAACTGGAGGGGAAGGTTGATGATGAGAAGGATGAGGCGGTAAATATCCTCCGACTCCGTATAATTTTGCTCTTTGCTCTTCATCTTCCGGCCTGTACGGCGCTAGCGGATTGTACCTCATCAAGGGATCAAGACTAAATTGAAAGATAAGAAAAATTAATTGTGGTACGAATTCCCGGTGTGCACATTAATCGTGGTACGGAAATTACCGGTATGCAAAAGGATCAGGACCAGGTGTTGCTGGCCACGTCGAAGGAGTAAAATGAGGTGCCAACGGCGGAGGCCTTAAACTTGGATGCCTACTCCCGATTCCGTAAGAATGAGGAGGATAAGGTCCGCTGGGTCCAGTTCTCCCAAGAACTACAATGTCTTCTTCTTTTGCTTTTTAAAATAAAAAAATAATATTATGCAGAAGCGAGTTTGACAAAGTTTTGATAATCCAAAATATATGAGTATCAAATACCTGTTCTGGGTTCTTCTTTGATTTCTCCATTTCTTAAAGGAGATCTGTCTCTTACTTTAGCATACCTTTCCAATTCTCTTTTCTCCAACTCTCTCCTTTCTTTTTCCCTCCTTTCGCGTTCACGTTCGCGTTCTCGTTCGCGTTCCCGTTCACGTTCACGTTCTCTCTCACGTTCACGCTCGCGCTCGCGTTCACGTTCAAGTTCCAATTTTCTTTTTTCCTCTCTTTCTCTTCTTTCACGATCTCTTTCCCTTAAAAAAAAAAAAAAAAAAATTTTATTTAGCTCAAATGTAAATATCACTAAATGTTTTTAAACATACGAATCAGTTTTTTTTTTTTTTTTTTTTCATTACCTTTCTTCTCTTTCCCTTCTAATCCTTTCTTTTTCTCGCTCTCTCTCTCTTTCCCTTTCACGTTCCCGCTCCTCTAATTCTCTTCTATCAGGCTCTGATTTTAATGACCAAGGAGAAGAACCAACGGGAAAAGCACTGGGTCCCCGTAATCTGTGAATTGAGAAAAAAAAAATTCAATGTAATTATTTAAATGTGATAATAAATAAAAAAATTAATTATTCTTTGTAGTATTTATTACCTCCAAGGATCGTGAACAGGAGGTAAAGGCGTTAACGAAGAAATTTCTCTTGGAGGAAAGCCCGTAATGCCAGTAAATGTAGAGGGAGGAGCTCCGAAGCTACCCATTGGCGGATACCGTCCAAAAGGTGTAACAGCTGAACCTAACAATAACAAAAAATATCGTTTTCACCAACTTATATAATTATAACATTAACAATGAAAACAGTGTAAACATACCAATGTGGGGAGGAGGAGGTGGTAAAAATCCGGGAGGATAGCTTGCCAAATCGTGACGAGGACCACCAGAAGGAAATAAATGTCCCGATGGTCTTAATAATGTATCCTTACTACCAGAAGTTCCCAAAGACTTATTTTCAATTGTTTGCTTCTGCTGATGATGATATATTTCCCAAGCAACCCTAACGTGCATGGCATTCCATTTTCCGGTTTTCTGAAAGAATTCATTTTTTAAAATTATTTTGTTCAAATTATTTTTTCTGAAAATAATACAGGAAGTAAAATGTTTTTTACGTACTACTATCCTAGGTTTTGTAGAATCTCCCACTTGCTAAAAATTAAAAATACAATATAATTAGCAAAAAATAAACTTATTTAATGATGTAACACTTATATGATGCAAATTTGTGGCTTACCTTCGGAGTAAAGGTTGGTAAATGGGATGGAGGTGCAAAAGGTGTAGATGGAAGTCCGGGCCCTAAGAGTCCCGGTGAAAATCCAGAATAGCTTACAAGGCCCAAATTTCCCCTATAAAAAGGAGAATCAACGCTTCCGAGTTTTGGAATGTCTTTAAACAAAGGAGGGGGATAAAGAGCCGGAGCTTGATGCTGATGAACATGAGTATGCTGATGTTGATGATGATGCATTTCAGTCCGAAGAAAAGCAGGCGCAACTCCAATACTTCTTTCTTGTGAGGCTAAAAATCGATTATCCAATTCTCTCCTTAATAGATCGGCTTGATCTAAAAATTCGAAAATCATAGTTTTACATTTGAATTATTTTAATGTCAAAACAAAGAATTTAAAAAAAAAGACACTAACTTGTTTGAAAAAGAGATTCTGCAGAAAAAGGAGTAGATGGAGTCGGACCCGCTGAAGGCGGAAGCGGAGGCGCAAACATTGAAGGCGGAAAATTTGTAGGATGAAGTGGAGGTCTTGGCGGTCCTGCATTAGGAGCGTTTAACCATACAGGGTTTTTGGTATACGATGAAGGATTGGGTAGACTAGATGAAGAAGTGGCATTAAATGGAGAAGCAGAAGGAGGTCCATTAACTGGAGTGGTGCTTCCCCTACTGAGACTGCTTACGTTACTGCTGTAAAAAAAAAAAAAAATGACAAAAGAATGAATCTAATGAAATTAAATAACTTATGTGTGTGCTGATAAAACATTAATGAAGAATAAATCAAACCTATAACTATCACGTTCTCTTGTAGGACTATGTCCTCT